ACAAATTCTTACCTGTATCTCTCCTTTACAGTTCAATATTTTTATGTTAAAAGGATATCCAGATGGACCTCATTTGGTTAGATAGCTACTTTCTTGAGTTGGTATATTGGCAAATTCATTTAACTACTACAGTTTTCTCACTTGGGTATTGCTTGTTATACAAAATTATACATGTTTTACTCTGGATATATATAGTTATAAACAGATCCTCATGATGTATCACTCTACCTAATTAGTTTTGTTTTCGAGTTCCTCTAGGTAGATGATTAATGCATGATAAATCTTTTATCCCACAATTCAGAAGTATATGTATATATAATTTGATGGTATGCTTTATGGTGATATTTAATGGTTGAAAAGTCTGAAACACTATTGGTAAATCTTCCTTTTCAAGAAGACAAGAGGGGTGCTTTGCCCAGAAGTTTTGATTGTGGAGTGGATGGTAAGGCCCTCACCTACACAACACATGAATCAAAACCTTAGTGGGCAAGACAAAGTATTATATTATGCCTTAATTTTTTACATAATAATTATTTACTATTATTACCCTTCCAGCTTGGATTTGTAACATAGAATCTTCACTTTTAATCTTTTGCTTTCCCATTTCCATCTCTTAAGAGTTTCTCCATTCATTTTTTCAGAAGAAAAATTGCTTAAAATAACAAAAACGTAAAGAATAGAATTTGATTAGAAGATGACTCAAGTAGTAATTATTTATTTGTTGGATGGTCTGGTTGTGCTCTCTTCTCTAATTATAAAACCATACGGGTAAATCAATAAACTAACTTTTTACGCTAATGCTTGCAGACCCTTTTGTTCTTAATTCAAAATGTAAGTGGACCATATGATAGTTATGTTACTAACCCCACTTAGATTCCACATTCAAGGAACTCAACCTAAAATCTCTGCTCTGCATTCCAAGACTTTGTGACTGAATAAAAGGCTTGGCATATATGCAATATTTTGGCAGGTTATTATNTGACATTATCACACCAAAGAACTGGTGTGGAATGCATTAAAGAAACACCAAGCTCCTGAAACAACTATTGCAGCCAAAGGACTTCACTAGCAGCTTGAGCAAGCGAGCGATATTCGGATTCAGCAGAGGAGCGAGCAACAACATATTGCTTTTTAGAGCTCCATTGAACTAAATTGCTACCAAGGTAAATACAATAACCGCTAGTGGAGCGACGATCATCAAGATTACTATCCCAATCCGCATCAGAATATCCTTCAATCATGAGAGGAATAGCAGCCTAGAGATGTAAGCCAAAATGAAGAGAGCCTTTAAGGTAACGAATTAGGCATTTACAAGCTTGCCAGTGCAGAACCGTAGGAGCTTGTAAATATTGGCTCAATTTGTTGACAGTGAAGGCAATATCAGCCCTAGTAATGGTTAGGTACTGAAGAGAGCCAATGGCGTTGCGATATAAAGAGGGCTCACTAAATAACTCACCGTCATTCAAGGCCAACTTGCAATGAGAGACCATGGGAGTAGGACAATCATGAGCTTCAGAGAGATTAGTTTTCCAAACTAAATCCTTAATATATTTGGCTTGAGTCAGATAAAGACCTAACTCATCACGGCAAGCCTCAATGCCCAAAAAATAACTTAGAGAACTGAGAGTTCTAAGTGAAAACTTACCATTTAGATTAGAGATAAGCTGAGAAATGAGGTGAGGATCATCACCAGTGACCAAGATATTATCCACGTAGATCAACAGATAGATAACATGAGTAGAGTCTAAGAAATAAAACAAACTGGTGTCAAACACTGCATTATGAAAACCCCATTCAAGTAAGGCGAATTTGAGTTTGTCAAACCAGGCACGAGGGGCCTGTTTCAAGCCATACAATGCCTTGGATAATTTGCAAACATAACCAGGATGATTATGATCAACAAAGCCAGCTGGTTGACGCATATAAACAACTTCCTGCAAATCGCCATTAAGAAAGGCATTATTGACGTCAAGTTGCTGAATATCCCAGTGATGAGTTACAGCCAAGGTAAGGATCGCATGCATAGTAACAAGTTTCATAACAAGGCTGAAAGTTTCAGCAAAATCAAGACCAGGTTGCTGCTAGAATCCTTTAGCAACAAGAAGAGCGTTACACCTATGAACTCATCCATCTGCATTATATTTAACTTTGAACACCCATTTATTTGAAACAACATGCGTATCAGGAGAACGAGGGACTAAAATCCAAGTCTGAGTACTCTGTAGTGCATCAAATTCAGCTATCATAACAACGAACTAGTGAGGAGAACCAAGGGCTTCAGAAACTAAAGTTGGCTCATGATGATTTATATAGGTGGAAGCAAACAGGGCTGCCGCAGAGGAGGGACATCGAGCTGTTTGAGATCTTGTTTTCATGACATGAATTCTTTGAACAACAAGAGGGGGAATATTAAGTTCAATGTAAAAAAGGATTTCTAGAGGAGAAGAGTTACGTAGGGGCAGATCATTTGATGTTGAAGAGTCAAGAAATAACACATGTGAGGTAGTAGGTACGGTAGATGAGGCAATAGGAGACTCATTAAGTGATGCATGTGAGGGAGTAGGTGTAATGGATAAAGATGAGGACACATAGTTCTTTGTAAGTGACGTATAGGAAGGAGTAGAAATAGCAGCTATAGATGTCTTTGTATATGGAAAAGAAGTGACAATAGGCCAAAAGGAGACAGGTGCAGAACACGTTTCAGCAGAAGAAGAAGTCGTGTTTAATGCTGAATTGGGATTAGGAAAAGAGTTAGAAAAAGGAAAATAGTGTTCATTAAATGAAACACTCTTCACGATATAGACCCTGCCAGATGAACGAAGACACTTATATCCCTTATGAAAGAGACTATAGCCAATAAAAACACACCGAGAAGTATAAAAATCAAATTTATGATGATTATAAAGGCAAAGATAAGGGTTGGAGGCACATCCAAATACTTTAAAAAAGGAGTAGTTTGGTTTTTGGTGAAACAGAACCTCAAAGGGAGACATGTGATTTAAGGTAACTGTAGGTAGAAGATTGATCAGAAATACTGAAGTATGAAAGGCATTCCACCAGTATTTGAGTGGCATAGAAGCCCGAGCCAGTGGTGTTAAGCCAATTTCAACCAAGTGCCGATGTTTTCTCTCTACCTTGCCATTCTACTGATGCGTATATGGATAGGATAAGCGAAAAAGAATACCATGTTGTTTTAAATAAGGGAAAAGAGCCTGGTACTCCCCACCAGAATCTGTTTGCAAACACTTTAAGGATGTACTGAATTGACGCTCAGCCATAACATGGAATTCCATAAAAGTCAATTTTGTCGCAGACTTAGCCTTTAAAGGATAAATTACTGAAATTAAATACAAAATGAACATAGTATTTATAACCTTTAACAGAAGCAATAGAGGCTAGTCCCCAAATATCCGAATGGAAAAGATCTAACGGTTGCATACTCTCTTGAAGTGAGCTTGGGAAAGTAGTTTGACATTGTTAACCAAACCGATAAAAGGCACAAAATGAAGTAGATGCAGCAATTGGTTTATCAAACTGAGATAAAACTTTATGAAGAACAGCCATATGAGGATGGCCCAATCTTTGATGCCATAAATCACCAATCTTATTACCAAGTAAATAAGCAGCAACATTATTATCATTATTAGAAGCAGAAGAACACAATTTATTATCAGAAGAATAAGGCTGATACACAAGATGAATTGCAGGAAAAAGCAGTGAGGTAGAAGCCTGTGCCAACAATGGTGGAGCTGAAGTCGGTGATGTGAACGGTGGAGCTAAGGAGAGAGCTTTATGAGGCAAGATTCCAAGGAGATCTAGGAAATACAGTCCATCTCTAAAATATCCTTGGAGAAGAATTGCCTAGGTTTTCTTGTGCTTAATAAGACCAGAACTAGATGAGAATTCAACTATGATAGGATTATCTTGAACAAGGCGAGAAATACTAATAAGATTCTTAGTAATCCTGGGAACAACTAATACTCTTCGTAAGACTAAGACATTACCAAAGTATGTGCAAGATAAAGAGCCTGAACCAATGCATACAATATCAAGTAAACTACCACAGCCAACTTCTTAGATCCTTTGTAGTTGCCAAGAGCTAAAAGTTGTTGTGCATCAGAGGTGATATGATCAGAGGCACCACTGTCTAAGTACCAGGATTTGTCAGCAACAGTAGCTGGTGCAGCATGAAAGGTAGTGGAGGTATTAGGCACTTGGTGATATGATGAAGAGGGTGGTTGATAAGATTGTGGTGCTGGCTGATAAGTGTGACAATATTGTAAAGAATTGTGCTTATAAGGTCGTTGATAAGGTTGATAAATTAGATAAACTGGTGCTGATGAAGATTGAGAAGGAAAGGGAGTAGCCATTGAGGGAGCGACAAATGCCTAAGGACCATAACGTGGAGTCATAGAGAAAGGTGATTGAAACGACAGTGGTGGCAAAGCAGCTCAAACAGGTTGAGGACCTTGGAAGCTTATGTCAAATTGGTGATAATACTGCATGACAACATTGCCAGTTTTACCACATAGTTGGCAAATAGGTTTGCCACGACCAGAAACATTTTTGTCCCGACCTCTGCCATTATTAAAGACAACTTGATGGCCATGATTTTGAGGAGCAAACTGTTGCGAAGCACCACCAGAGGAGGATTGATTTGTTGATACATAAAGAGCTGACGAAGGTACATTTGAGCTCTGAAGATCAATAGAGTAGGCTGAAGTTTGACAAGCAAGTCTGTTCTTATAGGCTTGAAGTTCAAATTGAGCTTCTTCTAATGTAAAAGATTCACATCGAGAAGTGAGAGAGGTTAAATTTACCATAACAACATAGAACTCGGGGCCAAGGCCACTGAGAATGTAGAGAATGAGTTCAGAATCAGAAAGCTCTGTTCCTAAAGCAGAAAGCATATCAACAACATCTTTCATTTTCTGAATATAGTCACAGACGGACATTGAGCCTTTTGTAGTAGTCTGAAGAAGATGATGTTGATGCATGATCTAAGACTTTGCTTGAGTTAAATTCAGTTTATCTAAGTTGGACCAGATCTCAGATGCATTAGAGCATTTTATCACATGCCGCATCATATTTTCAGAAACAGAGGCAAGTAGCCAATTTACTATCAACTGATCAAGACGACACCAGGCAGCAAAGGCAGGATTAACACAAGTGAAGGCTTTAGAAGTAGTACCAAAGGTTATAATTTCTAGTGGTGGAGATCGAGATCTAGTCAGAAAATGCTCAAAATCAAATTCTCGAACAGCGGACAGTACTTGTGATCGCCAATACACATAATTTTTTTGATGAAGCTTGATGGTAATCGGTGGTAAGGTTGTTGGAGACAAAGAAGTTACGGCAGTAGTGGAGGAAGTGGAACCAGAGGTGAAATGAGGATGCGCAATGGTCTCATCATCTTGTGTAGAAGGTGTGTGAAGCTTTTCTTGAACAAAAGCAGTGTTTGGTTGCCGAGAATCTGATGGAAAATTTTCAATGGCTCTGATACCATTAAAAAAAAAAAAAAAAAAAAAAAAGAATCTGTTATGAAGAGAAAGACTTTATTAATCTCCCACTTAATGAAAGTAGACAGAGTGTTGTCTTTTTATACATATTTCCTAAACTATGATTAACTAACTATAGTTACAAAACTAACTCTAGTTAATCTTTGACTCTGAGGCCAATTCATCATTTAACACGGACAAAGTAAAACTTCTGCCTCTGCTCCCTTTTCCCCTAGAAACTTTGCATTTTGGACCTTGCATATCTACAGATACAGTATAAAATACATAATGAAAACCAGTCTAAATCTAGAGGCAACAGTGAAAAAACACACAATGAAATCTATCTATGAATTTGAGAAATTCTTCTTGGCTTACGTTTTGAAAAATTTCTTTATTTAGTGACATTTTCTAAATTTTTTAGAATGGTCAAAGCTTAAATGTCAATCCAAAGTGTTTCAGAATTGTTTTCATTATCCTTTTTTTTTTTTTTTTTTTGTCTCTTTACAATTTCTACCAAATTCAATGAAGCAAATTATGGACATAAGGAGAAAACGTAACGCTATAGCATGTCTTACTTTATATTAATAATGGAAATATCAATTGTACGTCCGACCCAGATGGAAAAAATGCACGTCATTTCCGCGAGAAAATTTGTTTTCAGTTCAAAACTTCCACGAAGTCACCCATGGAGGCAAATTGACGGGAAAAACAATCGTAAAATAAAACCCCATTCCTGTGTGAGGTTTTCTTACTTAAACAAGGCATGGATATCAGAAACAGAATTTTCCCTAGTTGTCATCTGTTAATGTTCAAACTTAACTAAAATATTATTTTCTTTTCTATACATTACGAAGGTAAAAAAAACTCATCACAAGAAAAAAAGAAGGCCCATAGGTTTCTCGGTTCAGTGTTAGATGTAATATGAGTTCACAGGTTTGTTAACATTAAGGTTAAATTTAATAGGCTAGTTCACACAAAAAAAAAAAAAAAAAAATCGGTGACAAGTGTCAACCACAGAAGATAAATTTTATTTAAATTAATTGCACATTGAGAACTAATTGCTCTAAGTATAATCTGCTATACCATTCTTCTTCCTCCGTTACTCAATCCTGAATTTCTTCCTTACATCAACTTCTCATTCTTTTCTGTTCTTTCTAGAATTTTTGCTTCTACTTACTAACATGTAAACATAAAAGGAAAACTAATTCTGAATAAAGATATGGCATAATGCTATGCACAAATGCATAAAAGATGCATTTTTCTTCTGTTTTTCTTTTCTCTTCTTTTTGTGTTACTTCTCTTTCTGTTCTTTTTTCTCTCTTCTTCTATCTTTTCTTCTTTCTTTTGTTTCTATCTTTCTTCTTCTTCTTCTTTCTATTCTTTCTTTCTTTTCTTTTCTTGTTGCGCGATTCGGACTAGGTAGAGGCAGGATTCGAAACCCTGGCGTGTGAGTGAGTAATGTCCTCTATCTACATGCACTTCTTATGGACTGTACAAATTTCTTCTTATCTTAGGACTCATTAAAGGCGATGTGCATGTAGGTATGTTCTTCTGGGTACAGTCCTCATCCACATGCACTTCTTACGGACGTATAAATTCTTCTTTCTTATTCTTAGGCTGCTCACAAAAGGTAGCGTGCATGTGGGAATATTCTTCTTTGTCACTCACGGGTTCCCTATCGTAACAACCTTCTTTTCTCTATCTTTCTTTAAAAATTTTGTATTTAATTTCTTTCTTTTCTTTAGTAATTTTCTTCTTTCCTTTGTTCTTTAGTGTTCTATATGCATGTATGCATGTAGATGGACTTTTTCTTGTATTCTTTCTAAATTCAAATGCTTAAATGCAAGAATGCATATGTCATGTAAGCTGTCATTCTCTACTTCTCTATCATCTACAAACTCATATCAAAATAATGAACTAACATACTCATACATGCACTTCTCTTTGAAATTTCATCAAACCTTGTATGCACAATCAAAGTACTAAGGTGATTACATGGGATATCTACTTCAACCACCAAAAATTGGAGCCAAAGCTCCTAAAATCAACACTAAACTTGGCGAGGAAATTCACACTTCAAGATTCTATTCTAACTCTTCATAACTTCTTCAAACTTCCACCAATTCATCTCATTCTACACATATCTCATGGTGGAATTCTAAACATCATTCAACATTAATTCATCAATAATACTCAACATTCAAGCACATAAATACATAAAAATTTCTCTACACAATTATTGCTCAAATCATGGCTAAGGTTGGATTTACTTACCTTGAACTTGGGTAGTTCCACACTAGAATCTGTCTTTGGTAGACTTCCTCTTCTCTTAAACCCTAGGATATAACTATAAGAATTCAACACTTTAAAGACTTTAATCTCACATCGTAGTGCATAAATCTTACCTATGGAAGATTAGGATTGAAATTCTACCAATCAACCAAAAAATCCTATGAATTCCTTGGAAATTTGGTGAGAGAATTGAGAGAATTGGGGAGAATGGTAGGGTTTCAATTCTTGAACCCTTAATATCTCATATTTGTTTAACTTTCCCATTTTACCCTTACACTTCTAAGAAATTTCATCTTGCCCTTTAGTCAATTACAATAATACCCTTATTTCATTGCATTTCTACACTTTTCACTCCCACAATTTCAACTAATTAGGGTGAAATGACCATTTTGCCCTTGAGCAGTTTTCAGAATTTTCTCAAGAATTCCAGCAAGTTCTTTGCCTCAGCGAAAATTTTTCTTCGCCTCGTCGAAGCATTCCAAAAGTGTACGTTGCCGCTGGAAGCCTGCAAATTCTAAAACAGATTAGGCAGTGTGTACAGTGTCACGACCACAAACCTCCTTTGCCGCAGCAAAGTCTGCAAATTCTAATTTTTTAATCTTTCACCTTGTAACAAGTAAAACTGAGGGAATTACAACATAAATAGCATACCTCACATGTGGGTGTTACAAACGTTAGTTATTATTAGTGCGAAATTGAACATAACTGACTAACTCTTTCCATGACCTTAAACTGTAATAGGAAGGAGATATATGTACATCCCAGTGAATAACAAGAAGAATAATAAATAACTCTACCTATAAATATATTTTTTACAACTCTGCAACATCTAAAGATTTTCATCTCTTTTTCAAAGTGAGGGAGAATAATCGGATCATGTGGATAAAAAATCTCAACAGCAATCCAGTAATAAGAACTCCACCGAACAAAGTAAAATTTTCTCTTTTTTATCTCTTTTTAACCCTTTTTTCTTTTTATACTCCTGTTCCCCTAGAACCTTTACATTTTGGACCTTGCATATCTAGAGATACAGTATAAAATACATAATGAAAATCAGTCTAAATCGAGAGGCAACAGTGAAAAAACACACGATGAAATCTATCTATGAATTTGAGAAATTCTTCTTGGTTTACGTTTTGAAAAATTTCCTTATTCAGTAAGATTTTCTAAATTTTTTAGAATTGTCAAGGATTAAATGTCAATCCAAAGTATTTCAGAATTGTTTCCATTATCCTTTTTTTTTTTTCTTTTTTTTTTTTTTGTCTCTTTACAATTTCTACCAAATTCAATGAAGCAGATTATGGACAGGAGGAGAAAATTGAACGCTATAGCATGTCTTACATTAAATTAATAATAGAAATATCAATTGTACGTCTGACCCAGATGTAAAAAATGCACGTCATTTCTGTGTGAGGCAAACTGATAGGAAAAATAATCATAAAATAAAACCCCTTTCCTGTGTGAGGTTTTCCTACTTAAATAAGCCATCGATATCAGAAACAGAATTTTCCCTAGTTGTCATCTTTTAATGTCCAAACTTAACTAAAATACGGAAGTATTTCCCATTATTTTCTTTTCTATACATTACGATGGTAAAAAACTCATCACAAGAAAAAAAAAAAAAAGGTCCATAGGTTTCTCTGTTCAGTGTTAGATGTAATATGAGTTCACAGGTTTGTTAACATTAAGGTTAAATTTAATAGGCTAGCGCGCGCACAAAATTAAAAAAAAAAAAAAAAATTCGGTGACAAGTTCAACAAGAAGATAAATTTTATTTAAATTTAATTGCGCAGTGAAACTCGCACAACAGTCATTTAGAAATGTTTGTAACTGTCTGATTCATGCATTCGACATGAAAATGTTTAAGAGTGGCTATGCATTGTCTCCACATAGTTTCGAAATTAAATTAAGCTTTGCCTGTATGGGCCGCGGTTGGGCTGCCACATGCTAGCGCGCTTTGTACGCCGATCGTCTTAGGTCTAACATTACTACATTCTGATGTAATAGATCCTTCCTTTCCAATGTATTTAAGGTCAATATTGTCAAGCTCCACACCCTGGCATGGTGAACCACTACTACAGTCAAGCTTTACAGCAACTGGAGTTGTAGAAGTGCCCCGAATGTTCTTGAAGCTAACGTTGTTGATCTTTACGCGCGATGGAAGCTAAAAAAAACAGAACAAAGCATTATGGAACTGATATGGTCAATGTCATGAGACTTGATAAACACAAAAGAAAGAAACAAAGATTTTTTTTTTTCTTATATCTTTGCATTGCAATCATTGTGTGGGCAGTAGGATTGATCAATGATGATAGGATCGCTGACATTAACCATAGTAACATCCTCGAAATGCATGTTGGATGCAGAGGCTGCATAAGAAGCTGGCCAAGTTTTGATTCTCATACCATTGTCGGTATTAGTGAGAGTACAACCCTTGACAGTGATTCCGATTACAGGTTCTTCTTCTTCATACTGTCCTAGACTTCCAACGCTGATGCCATGGCCAGGTCCGCATATAACTTTGGTAATTGATACATTTTGAGCTCCACCACCGATGGAAATGCAATCATCACCTGTTCCAATTTTTGAATCTATAATTTCAATTCCACTAGATCTTCCGATGTGGATGCCATCGGTGTTTTTGCTATCTCCGGGCGCGGTGACGGTAAAGCGACGAAAACTGAAGTTCTTGCAACCTAGGACGTTAACATGAAATTGTTTGCTATTTAGGGAAGTTACATCTTGGACCAACCCGTTAGTAATGAAGTCGAACCTCATATTCTGTGCACAGAATTGAAACAAGTTTTGTCAGTGCCACACGTATAACACACTCTTTAAATAGGTTAGCAGGATATATACAATTGGATAATAAACTTACAATGGGAAGCTGCTTGCAATAATCATTGCCACAGGCTCCCCAAGACGAGCCTCCTTGGCCATCGAAAATTCCACCACCCGACAATGTGAAGCCTTCAATGTGTTGGAAAGTAACCCAACCGCCATCCTCTGTCGTTTTGCCAGCGCCCGATAGGGCCTTGAGGGTGCCTTGAACTTGAACCTCAATAGGAGCCTTGCAGGGACCTTCTAAGGTCACTGGACTTAATGAGAATATCCCTTTTGGAATCAACACTTTGCTTGGCGTAGCAGATGCACATGCTTTTTTCCATGTACTCATTAAAGCCTGAGACAAGAAACGTTATGTTATCAAGGAGATTAACGAAATAGAAATCGTTATGCATACGTATTTTTTATTGCATTGGTGTATTACCGCATTGATATCTGGTCCATTGGCTTTTGCGCCATCTTTCGTCACATCGAAAATTGACTGAGCTCTAGTTGTTGATACAAATAATACCAATAAAAAGGCAACTTTCGCGATGTCAATCGATTTCACCATGTTATCCTTTCTTCTTTTATTGTTGTTACTTTCTTGCTATAGTCTTCTTCAATGAGTAATTATGAAATCCCAGTTCTGTAAGACCATATTTATAATGCATTGAAGAAAGCTAATGCCACAAATTTATAACAAGTCATTAGCCAATTTTGTCCTCAGTTTGAAGAATGTTGTAACTTAATACGGTTTATCTATTTTTAAGTTATTGGTTTCTTTTATATGTTTCATATATGTTTGAGTAAGGATGTTGTTAATTATTGTAAGTTAATGACGTAACGTCTACGAATTATTCGTTTTTTAGCAAAATGAACAAATTAGTGGTCTTGCGTGTGGAACATTACTTTTAGAAATTAGATTTTGGTCAAATGTATGTATTAGCTTCATGTCAACCGGTGTTACCAATATGAAATCTCCGAGTCGAGGCAGAAGTAGTGGCGGTGCTACTATAGGACCAAGATAAGCAATTACACATCTTTGAATTTGAGAAATTCTTCTTGGTTTACGTTTTGGAAAATTTCTTTATTCAACAAGATTTTGCAAATGCTTTAGAATTGTCAAAGCTTAAATGTCAATCCAAAGTGCTTCAGAGTTGTCTTCATCATCTTTATTTATTTATTTATTTTTTGGTCTCTTCACAATTTTTACCAAATTTAATAAAGCAAATTTCGGATATAAGGAGAAAACTTAACGCTATAGCATGTCTTATTTCATATTAATAATGGAAATATTAATTGTACGTTCGTCCCAAAGGGAAAAAATGCATGTCATTTCATCGAAGAAAATTTGTTTTCAGTTCAAAACTTCCACATAGTCACCCATGGAGGCAAACTGACAGGAAAAACAAAAAAAAAAAAAAAAAAACCGTATTCTTGCGTGAATTTTTCTTGCTTAAACAGGGCATGGATAAAACAAAATTTTCCCTAGATGCTCATCTTTTAATGTTCAAAATTAACTAATCTATGGAAGTATTGCCCATTATTTTCTTTTCTATACATTACGATGGTACTGGAACTACTAAAACAAACGATATATTAGTTAACAATGAATTCTCACATTCAATGTGGCAACAACCGATTGATTATAAAGAATATGGCAAATGCAACAGCTGATCGTTAAAATCCCCGCTCCAGCTTGTCTACAAACAGCTAAACAACTCGTTTCAGCTGAAGACATTCTTCGCTTCAGCTTTTAAGTAGAGTGTTATCACTTCACATTATTTCTAACCAGTTCACTTTTACTTTCAGAATACAACCCCGAAAATTATCGGTTTTCCCAAAAACAACAGAAAGTGAAAATTTTGTTGACAAAAAAAAAAATAATAATAATAATAAGAAAAAGAAGCAGAATGAAGCAAACTGCTTCTAATCAAAAGTTCAGTTTCTTGGAAAACAAACGTAAACTCAAAATTTTCTTGGGCAGAAAAAATAAAAGAAAACGGAGCTTCATATGTTTCAATGAAATTGCTGACTTCTTGATGAATGTTTCAATTTTCTTGCTTAACAAGCAGAAATTTGAAATGTTTTCATCTTATTGGCAAAATAGCTGTACTAGTAAACGTTAGTTATTTATTAGTGCGAAATCTGATTACATAACTGTACTAACTTCTTTCCATGACCTTAAACTGTAATAGGAAGGAGATATATTGTACATCCCGAGTGAATAACAAGAAGAATAATAAATAACGTCTACCTTATAAATATAATTCTTTACAACTCTACAACATCTAAAGATTTTCATCTCGTTTTTCAAAGGTGAGGGAGAAATAATCGGGATCATGTGTATCAAAAAATCTCAACAGCAATCCAGTTGAATAAGAACTCCACCGAACAAAGTAAAATTTCTATTATGAAGAGAAAGACTTTATTAATCTCCCACTTAATGAAAATAAAACAGAGTGTTGTCTTTTTATACAGATTTCTTAAACTATGATTAACTAACTATAGTTACAAAACTAACTCTAGTTAATCTTTGACTTTGAAGTCAATTCATCATTTAACATCCTCCCTCAAGCTAAGCAGGGCATGATGAAGAAAAAATGCCTTGTCTTAGCTTGCTTAACAGAATAAAGCAAAACTGATGTAGTAACAACCAGTAGAGTAGAAACTTCATTCAGAAAACAGCTTCCAGAGAACAAGTGCAACTGCAAAGAGAAATGCAGAAAGTGCAACAGCAAACAGCAACACAAAATAGCAAACATCTTTCAGAAAAATGCAAAAGTAACAGCCCAGAAAAATGCAGCAGTCAAGAAAGTCAGAAAGACTAAAAGAAACGCAGCAGAACTTCATTCAACCAGTCATCATCCTCTCCCAAGTGAAACAAAGGAGAAGCCTTGATGAGCTTGTTGCGAAAGATACCAAACTGAGTAATGGGAAGAGGCTTAGTAAAGATATCAGCAAGTTGATAAGCAGAAGAAATATACTGAACTGCTAAGGCTTTTGTGGCAATCTTTTCGCGGATAAAATGAAGATCAGTCTCAATATGTTTGGTGCGAGCATGCTGAACAGGATTAGAAGCAAGTGAGGCGGCGCTGACATTATCACACCAAAGAACTGGTGTGGAATGCATTAAAGAAACACCAAGCTCCTGAAAACACTGTTGCAGCCAAAGGACTTCACTAGCAGCTTGAGCAAGGGAGCGATATTCGGATTCAGCAGAGGAGCGAGCAAAAACATATTGCTTTTTAGAGCTCCATTGAACTAAATTGCCACCAAGGTAAATACAATAACCGCTAGTGGAGCGACGATCATCAAGATTACTAGCCCAATCCGCATAAATATATCCTTCAATCATGAGAGGAATAGCAGCCTAGAGATGGAAGCCAAAATGAAGAGAGCCTTTAAGGTAACTAATTAGGCATTTACAAGTTTGCCAGTGCAGAACCATAGGTGCCTGTAAATACTGGCTCAATTTGTTGACAGTGAAGGCAATATCAGGCCTAGTAATGATTAGGTACTGAACAGAGCCAATGGTGTTGCGATATAAAAAGGGCTCACTAAATAACTCGCTATCATTCAAGGCCAACTTGCCATGAGAGACCATGGGAGTAGGACAATCATGAGCTTCAGAGAGATTAGTTTTCCAAACTAAATCCTTAATATATTTGGCTTGAGTCAGATGAAGACCTAACTCATCACGGTAAGCCTCAATGCCCAAAAAATAACTCAAAGAACCGAGAGTTCTAAGTGAAAACTTACCATTCAGATCAGAGATAAGCTAAGAAATGAGGTGAGGATCATCACCAGTGACCAAGATATTATCCACGTAGATCACAGATAGATAACATGAGTAGAGTCTAAGAAATAAAACAAACTGGTGTTAGACACTGCATTATGAAAACCCCATTCAAGTAAGGCAAATTTGAGTTTGTCAAACTAGGCACAAGGGGCCTGTTTCAAGCCATACAATGCCTTAGATAATTTGCAAACATAACCAGGATGATTCTGATCAACAAAGCCAACTGGTTGATGCATATAAACAACTTCCTGCAAATCACCATTAAGAAAGGTGTTATTGACGTCAAGTTACTGAATATCCCAGTGATGAGTTACAGCCAAGGTAAGGATCACATGCACAGTAACAAGTTTCATAACAAGGCTGATAGTTTCAGCAAAATCAAGACCAGGTTGCTGCTAAAATCCTTTAGCAACAAGACGAGTCTTGCACCTTTGAACTGATCCATCTGCATTATATTTAACTTTGAACACCCATTTATTTGAAACAACATGCATATCAGGAGAACGAGGGACTAAAATCCAAGTCTGAGTACTCTATAGTGCATCAAATTCAGTTGTCATAGCAACAAACTAGTGAGGAGAAGCAAGGGCTTCAGAAACTGAAGTTGACTCATGGGGATTTATATAGGTGGAAGCAAACAGGGCTACGGCAGAGGAGGGACATTGAGCTGTTTGAGATCTTGTTTTCATGACATGAATTCTTTGAACAACAAGAGGGGGAATATTAAGTTCAATGTAAAAAGGGATTTCTAGAGGAGAAGAGTTACGTGGGGGCAGATCATTTGATGTTGAAGAGTCAAGAAATAACACATGTGAGGTAGTAGGTACGGTAGATGAGGCAATAGGAGACTCATTAAGTGATGCATGTGAGGGAGTAGGTGTAATGGATAAAGATGAGGACACATAGTTCTTTGTAAGTGACATATGGGAAGGAGTAGAAATAGCAGCTATACATGTCTTTGTATATGGGAAAGAAGTGACAATAGGCCAAAAGGAGTCAGGTGCAGAACACGTTTCAGCAAAAGAAGAAGTCATGTTTAATGCTGGACTGGGATTAGGAAAAGAGTTAGAAAAAGGAAAGTAGTGTTCATTAAATGAAACACTCTTCACTATATATGTAATATCCCACTTGAGGTACGTATTTAAGATTTGATGTATTAGTTAAAAGTTTATTGTTTCAACTTTAATTGAGTTTGTATGTTGAGTTGGTTGAATTGTTGCCTTGAAATTGGTTGAGTTTTGGTGAAGTTGGAAATCCAATCTTCGCCGGGGCGAAGAAGAAACTTCGCCGCGGCGAGGAGGAGAAGTTGCATTACGGGTAGGTTCTGCCCTATTTCGCCGAGGCGACGAAAAATGCTTCGCCGCGGCGACGAGCCTAAAACAAAGATTCTTGAGTTTTCTAGAGAATTCTTCTTTTGGGACACAATGACCATTCTACCCCTAATTAGTAGGAAAAGTGGGGAGTAAAATGAAAGGAAATTTAGTAGAGATTGTGTTTGGATGGGGGTGTATTTGTAAAGAATCAAAGGATATAGATGGAATTTTCAAGGAAGAGCAAGGGCAAAATGGGAAAGGATGCTTATAATATGAACTAAAAAGGGTTAAGTGTAGAGAAACCCTTTATTTCTTCATTCCACCGCCTCTTCCATTTGCCCATTTTCTCTCAATTTCTCCATCCAATCTTCCAAGATTTCTAAGGGATTTAAGAGGGGTTTTGAGTAGAGATTTCATCTAAAGCTTCCTAAGGTAAGAATTCATGCTTTAGATGTG